GGCCGGGACGCGTCGTCGTTCGCCACGAACTGCAAAACAAAAGCTGTATCTACCACCCCCGCCCAGTCGATTACTTCCCAAATACCCTCCTCCTCCGCGATCAAGATGTGCCAAGTCAGGACATCGCGTGGCACCTGCCAACCTCGGCCCTCCCGCTCCTGGGGAACTTTAAGATGGCTGTAGCGACGCATCAACACTTTCATGTGCGGCTCAAGTTGCCCAGGCTCCTGCATGATGTCGTTATACTTCGCCGGAGCCTTAAATTTGGCCCAAATTGCCCTAAATGAATCGGACGGATCTCCTCTTCACGACCACCTTTGACAAGCGCTAAAAGCAAACGAAATAGTTCAATTTGATGGGACGCATTTTGTTGTATGGTGTGCAGATTTTTCAAAAACTGAAATGGTAAGCGTAAGCGAAAAGAAAATTTTCCTCCCTTCGCGACACTATCGTGGAAATTGCACGTGGCACACTTAGAAACCAGCACACTTCATTCAGACTTAAATATTTTTTGTGTATAACGACCGAATTTCTTCAGCGCTAGCTAAGGAAAACTGACTAAATCTGAATCGCTACTTGTACAACCTTTCTACAAAATTCCTTTCCGTCGCCGCTCGCTCGCCACTCTTTACACCACCATCTCCCCTTCCCAGCCCGTGTACCCATTTTTGATGCGGTCAAGGAATTCAGGCAGAGTTTTCTTCAAAATTCGATGCAGGACCATGGAGCCCACACGGTTCATCTGATACGGGAGAGGGCGAGAGGAGGAAAGGAGGAAGAAAAGCATAGGAGAAGAAACTGTGTCAGGTGGTCGTGACAAATTGATGGAAGAAACACTGAGCCGTGCATTAAAAGACGTCTCCTCATTTTTAAAGCACTTTGTCTTCACCCCCGGCATCGCTCCCTCCCTCCCAGCCTACCATCGAGGAGGGCACGAGCATCCAGCCCGGCTTCTCCATGCTGATCTCCATCTCAATGCGAGACGTGAGGGCAACGGTGCGATCATCCACCTGTAGGGCGGTAGGAAAAGGACAGGTGAGTGGGAGAGAGAGAGGGGCGTGGAGTGGCGAGAGGGGGAAGGACGGGGTGGCGCACCTTTTGCCAAGAGACGATGTTGGTGGTGTCCATCTGGAAAGAGAGTTCGTCGAAGCGCCCCGGGCCTGTGACGAGGGCGGGGG